TGTGCCCACTGTGATCAAGAAGAGGAGCGCCCAGGATTCCAAATCAAAGTGCCTGTGGAATCTAAAGAACCCAGTGGCAAGGCAAGAACCTCAGCAGAATAAAAACCTGGGGAGGAAGTGCTCACAATCAGGCAGACGGTGCACAGGGAGAGGCGCTGGAGAAAGGGCGCGGGCGCACTGTGGGGCTGGGCTTGCCCGCTCACCACTTGATCCACAGTCGCCAAAATTTGGAAGCTTGGTGCCTTGGATGCCAGTATGGGATGATGTTGGATTTTGAGGCTGTGCCAAGCTTGATGTCAAAAACTAGCCCAGATCTGGTATGGATGCACTTATCAGGAAGGCCCCATGTCCCCCTCACCCAGAGTAGACAGGTCCTGACTCTATCGACTGCTACAGCGTCAGCAGAGCCTCCAACAGAAGAAGCGCAGCTCTAGAGGAGTTATCGGTGTGTCATTGACTGAATGCCCCACCCCTTCCACATATCTTTCAGTCCTAAACTGAACTCAGTGGTGACTCAGGAAATCTAATCATCTGACTCAGTCTGTCATTCCAGAATGTAGGCCATTACCCTGGCCACGAGTAGATCTGGGCCTGGAACACAGTAGGTGTCTGGTTCATGGCTTCTGGTGTTGGAGGTTGGAGCTGGAGGTGGTGGTGAAGGTGATGGTGACAACAGAGCATGAGATGGTGGCACTACCCTGCTTGGCTCAGGTCCTCCACAGCCCCTCTAGTGAGAGGCCAGTGTGGCGGGAGTGGGACACTTGGCTTTTCCTCTGCTTTGCTCAGTCTTCCAGGCCCTGTAGGGCTGAGCACCAGCCCTGACCTCTATTTCCAGGGATAAAAGTAAGGTTCTGAAGCCCCCCTCCCCCGCCATCTGCAGTGGCTCACAGAATGAGTGACCCACACAGTCTGAGGCTATCACTTTGTCATTTGTTGGGGATTGGCTCACCCGCTGGCTCCCTGCTCTGTGGTGGAATAAAGGCCAGCCTTTCCCTGGGATCTCCCAAAGGTTCCTTTCATGGAGCCTTTCCCTTATCTTGAAAAACACTCACTACATGAAGGCACAGAAGATCTTGGGACCCCATTGGCGATTCAGGCTCAGGTGAGGACTAAGAAGATGTGATTACAGGCTCTCAGGGGGTGTGAGCACAGCTTAAAGAGGGGAAAGAATGAAAGAGAAGGAGATGAAGGCCGTGGGTCAGGTACCCCGTCAGGTTCTCTGCAAGGCAGTGGTGCAGCTGGAGGTGCTTCGCTGGCACTGGGCACTGGGCAAGTGTGAGATGTGGCCAGCCTTCAAGTGATGGGGTGGGAGGTGGCATGGAAGTGAAACTGGGAGCCCTGCTGGGGTTAGCGGAATGGACAGACACATGGGTGCCAAGACCCAAGGCGCAGCCCTGCTGTCAGCATGTGAAGTGCAGTGGGCTCTGGAACTCTGAGTTCTGGCATCCAGGAGAGAACAGGCAGAGACAAGGAGAAAGTGGAGCCAGACCCAGGGACCACAAGCCGTGCCAGAGCTAGGCTTCATGGTCAGCTGGGGCCTTAGAGCTGAAGGCCCTCATCACCAGCCCTCTCCAATCCCAGAGCTGGGGAGTCCCCAGACTGAATAGGAGCTCATGGGCTCTGCCGTCTTTGCAACACACTGGGTGTAGGAACTGGTTTTGCTGAGAGCCAGTCAGACCCACACCAGGTTGCCACCCCTTGCTTACCCTTGCTTTTATTTTCCCAATCCAGAAAGTCTACAGAAACTCTTGGGAGCAGATCCGGGCTGGTGGCTATGACTTCAGGCTGGACGCTATCCCGTTCCAGACAGCTCGGGCATCCAGGGAGATTGCCAGCGATGTAAGACTCCATGTTGTCTCTGTAGCTGACACATTTCATGCTGTTCTTCCCCGTACCTTGATGGGCAGTAGGCAGGCTTCAAGGGGTCAAAGAGTGTCACTTCCACACCAAAATGTAATGTGCACTTCAGAGGAAAGAAAAAGCAGGCCAATTTTGTAGAATCTAGCCAGAAATCTGGGGTTAGGGGTTTGCATTCCTATTCCCTCTCTTTTAGGAGAAACACCCCTAAAAGTTGGTGGAGCAGCACTTAGAAATCAGGGAGCATGTGGTTGGTTGGGTGATTCTCAGTAAAGGGACTTCTCTAAGTGGAAACACAAGTATGGAGCAGAGAGCAAGTGGGCCTTTGCCTTATGTTGACCTGAGTTTGTGTCTTGGCTCAGTTGCTCAGGAACTGGCTACTTGACTTGGGCAGGTTGCTTAAATTCTCCGAACTCAAATTTCTATATCTATGAAAAAGTGACGTCATACTTGCCTTCTAGGATTAGTGTAGGGATACAAACAAAATGGTTTGCAGTGCCTGGAACACAGCAGGTATTCAGAACATGGCATCTAGGATTACTGGAGAGGAGAACAGTGCTGATTAGACACTGGACAGCTGTCTAGCCACACATGTTTGCTTGCTGGTCTGCTGTGAGCTAAAGACGGACAGTGGGGCAAGCATTCAAACAGTTTCTTAGTAATTAGATCCACAAACACCTAAGTCTGTGATTGGTGGACTCAACTGACTGAGCAGGGTATGGGACTGCTTGGGAGATTACAAGTGCTGGGGGTAGGTCTTCGATGAATGACAACTTTAGCAATGCTAAATGAAATGGGTCCATCATGAATGATTTGAGAAGCACCAGGGTAGGTTCCTGAAAGTTGGAAAGGATCAAAAGAATGGATACATTTCCCCTCCTGGTGGAGTACTGGTGACAGCAACCGTAATACCAGAGTCACCAGCAGTGGGCATAGTTGGTGCCAGGCTTGAAGCTCAACACCCACTTCGGGGAATTTTCTCAATCTCCCATGGCAATGGGGATTCATTCTCCCATTTTATCAGATGGGGAAACTGAGATTTGGTAACTAGCCAAGGCCAGACAGCTAGGCCTATGAAATCCAAAGCCTGTGTCCGTGCTGAGCTTCCTGCTGAGTCCCGTGGCTGCCTCACCAGGGAGGGCAGCTCTGGAGGGGAGGTGGGCCCTGTGATCCATCTCTGCTCCTCTGATTTTCAGTTCCGGTACAAAGAGGCCTTCCTGCGGGACCGGGGCCTGCAGATCGGGTACCGCAGCATCAGTGATGACCCAAGGATGAAGCATTTCCTCAACGTTGGCAGGCTGCAGAGTGACAATGAGTACAGGAAGGACTTTGCCAAGAGTCGGTTCCAGTTCCATAGCCGCACCGATCAGCCTGGCTTCCTCCAGGCCAAGAGGAGCCAGAAACTGGCCAGTCACGTGCATTACAGGCAGCCCCTGCCCCAGCCCACCTGCGACCCGGAGCAGCTGAGCTTGAAGCATGCGAGGAAGGCGCACCAGCTGCAGAGTGATGTGAGCCACCTTCGCACATCTCGTATTACCTTCTGGGGGAGCTGGGCTGAGATGGCACCCAGACACTGGGCATTTTGGAACCAGAAGGAAGAAGGGCAGTAATTACTGTACCACCTCTGTGCTCTTCACCATGCTCTGTGCCAATTGCTTTCTGATCACTGAGCTCTGTAGCCTCCACGCTCCCACCACTGTTTCATTTTACAGACGAGGAACCCGGGATCCAGAGGGGTTAAGTAGGTCTGGAATACAGACCACATGTAGTTTGATGTGAGGGCCCATGTCCTTGGTCCCTGTGCTGTACTATCTCTGAGGAGTCACAGTAAGTTAGCTAACCCAGGCCCTGCACTTTTCCCTGGGAAGAAAATGAAGTCCAGGGAAGGAAAGTGGCTTTGCTGGGCCCACAGAGAACCAGGCACTACCCTGACCCCACCTTAGCTCCCATCGCTCAGATAGAAGACGTGAGTGACAGCTGCATGCTGGCCGCTCACAGCAGGTGCAGCAGGTCCTCCAAGTCAGGGAGCTCGGACTTAGGATGAATCTGCTCCCCTTGTTCTAGCTTGACCGACAGTATATTCCTTGTTTTGTGGCTGCCTTTTTAATCCCAGTCACTGTGGTCAAAGCACCCTATACCCTGCCAATACACTCCTCTTGTTTCTTTCTTCCTCCAAGGTCAACTACAAATCAGACTTGAATCTGACCAGAGGTGTTGGCTGGACCCCTCCTGGCTCCTACAAAGTGGAGATGGCTCGGCGGGCTGCAGAGCTGGCCAACGCGAGGGCCCTGGGGCTCCGGGGAGCTTATGTGAGTAGCGAGCTGCCAACTCCCCCTGCCTGGCAGGACCACGGGAAAGACAAAGCCATTGTTTCTTTTCAAAGTTTATTTTTGGCCAAAGGTCAGCCAGCTCTAAAGAAGTGTGAAATGCAGCTGAGCGAGGCACCTAATTTCATGGGTCTGGGATGACCGGGTGGATGACACACAGGTTAAACTTCCTGCAGGGTTTTCTCTGAAGTCACAGCCATTAGTTCTGCAGAGGCGAACCTACCGGGGAGACATCAATCCCGGGCCAGGGCACCCAGGCTGTGTCGACTGCTTGCTTGTTACATGTGCAGAAAGGGTCAGGGACTCACCAGCTATAACAGCCTGCATTCTGAACCCTACTTTGTTCAGAAGAAAGACACAGTGACTAAATGAGAGATTGGCTTTGCTTCTCTCTCATTGTTGCCCTGAGGATCCTTTTTCTTGGGCAGGGTAGAGGAGGAGACCAGAAAGGAGGATGAATGTGTTGAATCTCTGGGAGCATCTTAGCGTGTGTGTGTGTGTGTGTGTGTGTGTGTCCATGGGGGAGGTTCATTTTAACATGGGGGATGCCTTTGATTTCTGCAGGAGACACGAGAGGCAGTGGGGGCTGAGCATCTGATGGGGGAGGTGAATCTGGATGCCACTGAGATCCTGCACAGCAGAAGGAAGAGGCTCTGCTGATGAGAGGGAGTGGGCCCTACCCAGGTTCTTGAGAAGCCGCGGCAGAAGTCAGCTCTTCAGAGCCACACTGCAGATGCTGTGAGCACCTATAAAAAATGGCACCACAGCCCATCTCAAGATCTGCCATTATTAAAATAACAAGTCTGAAAGCAAATAGAAGATGTTGCATTTTTGCTTTTTTCCATAATACCTGGAGGAGGGTGGTGGGTGCTGTTGAGTCCTTCAGGTTTTGGGGAGGAGGGGTAAGCAGTCGAAGTGACTATCCTCAGTGCTGGGTGTTCTGTAATCTCACATTTGTAGGTGTCCTTGGCTGAGGCAGTCTCTGTGAACACTGATTTTCTAGCAGGTACAATCAACAGAAGGGAGGCAAACCTAATCCATTGAGCATTGAGTCCATTGTCCCTGGGGTCCCCAGGGAGGTGGGGGGGGCTGGTAAGTGGTGTGGATATTGGCTGGCAAGACCCAGGGTGAGCAGCTGTCGTCTGCCCCGAGCAGGGCCCGCTTCTGTGTGGCCTTCTGGGTACTCCTGAGGTATCGTTGCTGCCGTGAGTTTCACTTTATCTCGTGCTGAGGAGGATGGCTCTGAGGTTGCAGGACACCACCTCAGAAGACAGCCTCGTTTTGTATTGTGGTTTTGATCCAGTTCAGGAACTTGGTGACGTGGGTGTAGACCCCGGGCTTTTCCCCACATTCCTGGCCCCAGCTTACGATCCCATAGACGTAGTAGACGCCACCCTTCTCACAGGTCAGAGGGCCTCCAGAGTCTCCCTGGGGAGAAAAGCAGCAAACATTCAGCCTCACGGACCTGCATGCATTCAGAGATGCCTCCCTCATCTCTCAAGGGTGCCAGAGGTGACTGGGTGGCATTGCCTGCTAGCCACATGGGTGTCTCTGGAAAGTGGTGACATCACCCTTCTCATGCCACCCGTGATGCAAGGCTCTGAACAGAGAGAAGTTACACTGTTAGCTCTGGATCCCAAGAGGTCTGAACAGAGAAGCCCAGGGCTGTGGTCACAGTGTGGTTGGCTGATCCTACATCCTGACCCCGAGTCCTGCAGTGTCCTCACTGCTGCTTCTTCTTGCAGTTGACCCAGGGGATGGTGCCCTGTTGAACAGGGTCTCACACAGGGCAGGGGGGAAGGACAGGGACTCAGTGACAGAGGGGCCTGGGCATTGTACCTGGGTACGGGGTTTGAGCTTCTGGAGTCCAACCCAGGCTCTTGGGCTGCTAGCTGTGTGGCTTGGGGCCTCAGTTTCTCAGCTGTGAACTGTGCATAGCAACTGATGCCCAGGGTGCCAGGATCCTTTGCTTGCACAGAACATAGAGCAGAGTCTGGTTTGTATTAAGCCCTAGTGGCAGTGGTGAGGATGAGGATGGAGGAGAAAGTGGGGAGACTCACAGACAAGGCTGCTACAATGAACAGGCCTGGAAAAATGGACTCTCTTGCTTACTGATAGCTGCCACCTGATCATCTCATGGACACAGAGTAGAGCTCCATGAAGTGACAGAGAACGGAGAATTAACTGGGTGGTTGATCAAAATCATATAAGAACAGATGGAAACAGGCTCCAAGCTCATGGCTATTTCTAAAGCTACAAGTGAAGCCCCTGAATTATCTTGAAAATCCTGAAATGTGATGTTCCGAGAAGTCTGAAGAAGTATCCTGTGTGAAGGGGGCCCTACAGAGGAGTCTCGGGGCGCAGGCTTTGACGTGGCACGGGGTCTGAGGTGCCTTTAGCAGCAGTTGACAGAGCCAACATCTTCCCTCCCAGAGCATCCATGAGCTACCGCAGACCTCGACAGCTGGGTGGGGGTGGGTCCCAGAAGCCTGCACAAGGTGGGAGGTTAGGCAGGTTCCAGGTTTTGGCTTTGACCACAGAGTCACGCAGATTACTAGGACTAAATCAAGCTCCTTATCACAGTTTCTGTTTCTACCGCTGTCCATCTGTGTCACGCGCATTTAATGACTAATAATATCATTGCAACACCTGTAGGCCTTATGTCACTTTCCTGTTAGTCACCAGTCTTGCCGACAGTTCCCTGTTTTTAGACACACAGCCTAACACTGAGACCAGCAGTGCTATCTCCACATGAGGCTTAGTGGAGCAAAGTAGAAGCTCTGGTGTCCCGCAGGCCCAGGGGTTCAAATTCAAGGGCTTTTACTTACTACCCCATTTCTATAGGTAGGCACGACTTTTCTGAACATCCGTACAATGGTGACAATGACAGTCCCTTCGCCAGAGAGTTGTAAGAGTTCAGTGAGCTAAAGCACAATGCAGCCAATGTGGCCTGCTATGTTATGATGCAGAGCCATCCTGGTGTGAGGTGGATTCAGATGTGCTGGGGTCAGATGTGCCCTGCCTGTGCTGAGCTTTGTGACACGTGTCCCTTGCTCCCACTCCCGGGCTCTACGGGGCCTCTGTGCCTGTGTACGATTCTGCCGAGCTCTCCTTCACCAAGGGCATTTGGAGCCTGACCTGGCAGGTGTCCGTCCCAGGTTTCTGAAGGTTTCCTGCACAAATCATACTATCGTCAATCGTTTGGTGATAGAGTCTTCGGGAGTTGCATAAAGTGTTGGCAATCAGCTTGACCTTTGCATCCAGAAGCTGGCGGGACCCCTCCCCTGTGGAAGGAAAAAAGAGTCACTACTGTGGGGACCAGGCTGGGACCCATCCATCCAGAGTCTGGTGGTGAAGGAGAAGGCTACCAGCCCACAGCTTGGGAAGGAATGAGCCCCCTGAAAAATGAGCAGAAGAACTGTGTCTTCCAGCACTGAGGAGCTTTCCCCTTCGCCTCAGCCTTCGCCATGTCTGTGCAGCCCCACAAAGCTGCACTGAGCACCGTGGGACAGAGTCATCCATTCCCTCCTCTAAGGTCTAACTAGACTACAAGCTCCAAGAGGGCATGGACGATGATGTCTTGACCATCCTCAAAATTTTCTACCATCAGCAGAACGACTTGCATGAGAAGATTCTAAGTGACTGATTGGCCTTTCCTAGTGCAGTAGAGTCTCTGTTTCTAGAAGACATTCTCCCCTTAAAGATAACGGAGTCAATCCAAATATGCCATTGACTTGGAACGTACTGACAGCACTGTTTTAACCTGAGGCCTTGAGAGATTCTCCACTAAGACATTGCCACGTTGCCAAGACCCCATTACACAGAATAAAGGTCAAAAGGGCTAGACTGAAAAAAAGAGTTTTCTGGTTTTAATTCCAATTAGCCTGAAATCTCTTTTCCCAAGAGCCTCGGACAGTCTTGCACCTTACATTTCATTTACTTTAAGAGTAATTGTGCATATTACATTTCACCTTCTAAAGTGGCTCCCACTCCCCATTATTAAGGACAAGATTGGGAGAGGCAGCAAATGCATTTTGAGTATTTGTGAAGGACTTGAAATACCTTTCTGAATGTCTTTGTATTTGAGGATATAATCTTAGGGGAGGATTATGTTTTGTTTTTGGTGCCAAGGACCAAACCCAGAGCTTCCAACTTGCTAGGCAAGTGTTCTACCACTGAGCTAAGTCCCCAGCCCCGAGGATAGAATCTTACCTGATCATGATTCCAAATCTTGGAGGGGGCTGGAATTATTGAGAAATTAAGACTGAGCGGTGCAAGCCACAGAGCCGAGGATGTGCTGCAAGTGTGCCTGGTGCCACTGCCAAGCTCCTCCCACCCTGCCCTCCTTGCGCATCACCAGGGAGGCAGAGAGGTCTCTGTGGGCACAGGAGCAGCACTTGAGAAGAGTGGGCATCTAGGGGCAGAGGCAGGGTATCTAGACACAGGTCAGGGCTGATCAGGGAACATTCCCTGCAAATGGTAAGATTTACCTACAGCTGGAATGAGGAAGCAGGAGCTTTCTTTTGGTGCATTTTAAACTTATTTTGAGTTAGAAATTCAGTTGCAGTAGCCCCATTCTTCTCTGGCTGATGCGGCTTCCCTGAGCCAGGAGAGAGTGCAGAGATGGACTCACCTGTTTCTGTCACACCCCAGCCGGAGATGTGGCACTCAGTCCCAGAGGGAAAGGAATCGCCAGGCAAACAAACAGTCTTCACATACTTAGACTCCAGAGCGCAGTGCCCGTCCACGGGCTTTAACTTGAGCAGAGCTGTGTGGAGACAGGGGAGGAGACAATATGGCTTTAGCACCTTTGCAGAGAGGCAGCAGCTCTCCACTGGCTTCTGAAAGGGCTAGTAGTGAAACTCCACCCTCCATGACCGAAAACCTTCTTCCTTCATCATTTTATTTTTTAAACTTTCACTTGAGAGGATTAACACAGGCTGAGAGTAATACCAAGAACAATAAGTGGGTTCAAAATAATTTCTAGTCCATTTTAAAAAACAGGGTGTCAGAGCAGTAAAAGCTAGAAAGAGAGAGACACACACAGAAAGAGAGAGGGGGAGGAAGAGAGAGAGGGAGAGAGAGAGAGAGAAAGAGAGAGAGAGAGAGAGAGAGAGACAGACAGACAGACAGACAGACAGACAGAGAGACCGAGAGACAGACAGAGACAGAGACAGAGAGATACAAAGACAATCCTGTGAACCCAGTAGCTGAGGACTGGCATTGCCTGGGCGCCAGAACACCCCAGGTACCAGTGCCAGGCATTAGTACTCAGGAAGCTTGGAGTTGTGCAACAGTGTTCCCGTTTTCCCTAGAGAAGCTCAGGGCGGCAGCCCCACCCCCAGGTAATGGCTGGGGATCCGGGATTCTCAGTGCAGTGTCCTGACACTCCTTCCCCTCAGCTGGAGTCTGTGTTCATTTTTCTACAACACAAACACATAGTCTTAAGAACTGAAAAGCTCTGGAATAAATTCTTTACCTTCCGTGGTCCACAAGGGACCAAAATGATCCACAGAACCTTTTGAAACCAAACCTCAGCTTCCCATCTGTGGAGAACTCCACCCACAAGACCCCCGGGAGAGCAGTCAGAAAGGACGGGCGGGGACGTGCCTATGTCGTTGTGCGGAATCTCGTCTCTCTCCTGGTAGTGGCTGTGCTTGATGATCTTCTCCACCCTGAAACTCTGCTCATGGACCTCCGTCTTCTTCAGGTCCTGGTCCCCTAGCACAACTTTGAGATGCTTGGCCTTTATGCTGCAGGGGAAGGTAAAACCACCGTTGGGGAATTGTGCTGGACAGGAAGATGCAGGGCCCACGCCCTAGCTTAACTCCTGGTGAGTGGTGTGACCTTTGACCCCGGCCTTCCGCAGCCTTAGTGCGCTCATTCGCTCATTCGTAGTCCCTTTCTCCTCACAGAACCCTGCTGTGTGTTCCTAATGTGGGAAACTGCTTTAGTAATGGAAGTGCACTCTAGGTGTGCGAAATCAGGTAATGACGGGATGGACTGGAAAGCTATCAAGTCCTCCTCCAAAATCTGAGCTTCATGGAACCAGCTCTGACCAGGAACCAGGGGAACTCTGAGGGGTGGTGATCCTCACTCCTGCAAGTCACTGACTTCTATGAGGTACACAGGAGGCCTGGGTGAGGATGCCCCAAGGGTCAGTGACAACAGCCTCAAGCAGCTCATGGCAGATCAATGTGAGTTTGGTTCCCACTCCTCTGCTTTCTTTCGTGTAGCTTTAGGGAAGGTGCTAAACCTTCTGTGCCAGATCCAGGTCCTTATTGATGAAAACAGTAAATTACCCTCTTTCCCTCCACAGATCATTATTGAGCATTTTCTATGTTCGAAGACCAGCAGTAATAATGCAATGGGAATAACACAATGAATAAGATAGATACAAGTCTTTGCCTTCCCTTGACTTGTCCTTCTGGAGCTAGTTTGGAGCAAGGCCCATGGCAGGCAGTGTCAGAAGGATAGCTTTTTTTTTTTTTTTTTTTGGAACTGGGGATTGAACTCAGGCCCTTGCACTTGCCAGGGAAGCGCTTATTCTACCGAGCCATCTCCCCAGCAGCTATGATAGTTCTTTTTAGTCTGGTATTTTAAAGCCACCTTTTGGTTCAGAGCCTTCAGGAAGGGGAGGCCACCAGCCTGCGTCCACGTCACCCTGTGTGCACTCACTCAGTACAGTGGGCTGCGGTAAGCACCCAGCAGGGGTGGACCAGCACCCCCCCACAGAAGTGGCCTTGGGGCATGGAGGAGGCCAAAGGCAGCGAGGTCTGCAGGGACGCCTGCCATGGGTGCTTGCCCGCTGTGCTCTTGAAACCTCCGTAGATCCTCTTGATCTTCCTCTCTGCAACCTCAGTTCTCCCACAGGAGGCAAACCCCAAAGGCTGGATCGAGGAGTCCACTGGGCTCTGCTCTGGGTTATGAGTGTCTGCGGGACACAAAGAGGTAGATCACCTAAGGGGCCCCCTCCTTCTCATCCCTTGGGAGGATCTGGCCCCAGATCTTACTCAGCCCAGCAGTTGAGCCAATGACTCGAGCTGGAGCCTGCACTGGTGCATGCAGGGTGGTGTTGCTGTGCACTCATATTTGTTGATTATCTTAATGAATACAAAGCAAGTTTTTAGAACTAAGAGTGAAGATGCTGCTTTTTCCCCCTTTCAAAGTGTGTGTGTGAGAGAGAGTAAATACACAGATCTATCAGCTATCCATTAATGCTCTCTCTCTCTCTCTCTCTCTCTCTCTCACACACACACACACACACACACAAATCACACAAATTTAGAGGTTATATCAGGGCAGAGGGGATCCTAGTTGAAGCAAGGCAGGGGAAAGGAGAGTTTGCAGAGATGCCTGGGATACAGAGGAGAGAGCAAGGGGTGCCTGAGTGCTGCCTTGTTTCATTCCAGGGGCTGTTAAGGAGGGAGGGCTAACACCTCACTCTGGAAACCAAGGAGGACTCCTCAGAGGAGGGGATGCTTGGGTTTGTTCCCTAATAATGGTTGGGATCAGGCAAGAGCAGACATGGAAGGAGTGTTACACACAGAGGCAACCAGAAGACCAAAGGCAGAGATGTGAAACTTCTCAGGGAGGGAACCCCACTGGCCAGAGTAGGAGGGCAGGGTGCTCTGAATGTGGGCACAGGGGTGGGCCAGGAAGGCTGGCAGGAGTGCCATGAGGCTGGAATTCAGGCCAAGTTGCACCCTGAGAGGCCATGGGGGCACAGACAATGTTTGATCCCCATTGTGCACAGAGGGCTGGCTGGGAGCCAGCATGCCACCTGCGATCGATGCGGAGCTGCTGAGCACACTGACGTGCAGTCATGAAACGAGTTTCTAGCTGAACACCCGGCCTGAGTTGACAAGGGTGTTCTGCTCAGCTGCCCGAGTGGGAGGCAGGCTGGCACTGGGATGAGCTGATGAAGCTGGTCCGAGGGAGGACTGGGTGGGAAAGCGAGGGTGCCAGCAACACCTGCCCAGAGGACATGACCTGCCCCCAGGGGCCTGGCGACATCCCTCAGCCTACCTGTAGCTGGGCACGCTGGGACCTCACAGTACTCCCATTTCACCTTTTCACTATTAGCTTTAATAAAGCACCAGGGCTTTTGGTCTCCATCTGGGTTTCTACAATGAAAAACAAGGAGGATTAGAGACTCAGTGAACACAGCCTCACTGAAGGACCCTTGGATGAGAGGACACCGCACCCTTGTACTTGCCCTGGGATTGCACATCAGCCCAGTCCTCCAACAACTTGGCAAACCGCAGCCCAGAAGGTGGGCCTGAGTTTACTGGGCAGAATATTAACTTCTTCCTCTTCTTTTTTTTTTTTTTTTTTTTTTTTTTGGTACCAAGAATCAAACTCACAACCTCATGCCTGCCAGGCAGGTGCTGTGCCACTGAGCTGAGCTATCTCTGGGGCTCTAAGCATCTGGAGGGGAGTCTCAAGAACCAGGATGGAGTTCACAGGCAAGGCCACATCTCTTATACAGGCAGCTTAAAGCCTGAGAAAAGGATCCTATCCCTTGGGATCATTGGCCTTGGTTAGATGGTAGGAGGAAGGCTTCAGAGTGGAATGGCCCAGAGGCAGCAGAGGGGGAAAGGGGGAATCTCTAGTTGTTACCAGGGTGGTGTAATGGTTGGCAAACTGTGTCAACCTGAGAAGTTTAGGGGGACACTGCTCAGGGGCACATGCACCTGCTTGGTAGGCAACCAGGTCCTGAGTTCAATTCCTGGTACCAAAATAAAAAAGAGAAGTTTGTAAGTTCAACTAAGCACTTTGTAAACATCCTCATCTTGTGAAAGAGGATGGCTCAGGCGTGAGTGCCACAGCGGTCCTGGGGTTGGGGTAGCCCGCTTACACTATAAGGGAGGAAAAGTGCATCACCCCACTTTTGCTCTTGTTGCTGTGCTGCCTCCTGCCACCCCCCGCACCAGGCCACCCTGCCTGGGAGCCAGCTGCTGATAGACTAAAACCTCCACAAAGTGTGAGCTAAATAGACCTTTCCTTCCTCAACTTTGGGTGTCAGGTGTTTCGTCCCAGCAAGGAGAGCCAAGGGACTCAGGCAGGCGGTCTCGGCGTCGTCCTTCTCAGGAAAGCCTGAGCACCCTTGTCAAGGCCGCATGCTCACAGCCGGCCCACCTGCTCCTCTTCATTCCCCATGAAAGTTATGTGGGGCCGTCTGTCACTTTCTGACCCATGCAGTGTGCACAGGGCAGTAACATGTCATGTACAGGTTGAAGTAGTTTTGTAAAAGTGCTCCATTTTCCAACTTTCCATTCTTTGCTTTTGTTTTTTTTAAAAAAATGTATTTAATACAGGGTCTACTGGGTCTCACTACACAGATCGGACTCATAGTGATCCTCCTGTCTTCAGCCTCCCAAGCGCTGGGATTACAGGAGTGCACCACCACGGTCAGCCTCAATCTCGGTCTCAGCGTGCCCTGGGGTGGGGCTGGTATGGCACGAGGGGGATTGAACCCCAGCCGCTGCACTCTGCCTAAGCAGGTGCTTTCCATTCTCTTCTTTTCTTCCTGGGTATTTGAGAAACTACCCAGAGATGAACCTCCTACCATTCCCTCCCCCATCCCACACACAGCCTTAGCAAGAAGCTTTGATTCACGGGAGCCCCTGAGATCTAGGGGCTGATGGTGGCAGCAGCAGAGCCTCACCTGTCCTCACGTTTCCTTGACAGGTGGCTCAGGCGTTTGGTGATGTGTTTCAAAATCAAGCCACCGTGACTGGGCAGAGAAGGTAATTCTTACCTGCAGAAGTTGTGATCCCCAATCCCGTGGCCCTCGGCGTCCTCCATAAACATGTTGTAGTTCTCCTGCAAGAGGAGGTGGGAGTTCCAGTGCAGGCATGTGTGCTGATTGACGGTCCTGCTCACTCTGCCCCGGTAGGAGTAGCCGTCACCAACATAGCAGTCATCGGAACCTCAGAGGGAGAGAGTGAGCAGGGACATAAGAACTGGGAGCTACGGGGACGCTGCTCCTGGAAAGGCTGGGGCGTCTACCAGTGGCCAATAAGCTTGGGTCTGGATATTTATCACCTTACAGTTTCACCACAAATTTCAAGGAGATGCAGATTCAACCCAGCTTAAAAATGTGAAATATACTAGCTTAGAATGTAGATGGGAATCTAATTATTTAGTTTTGACTTACAAAAGAACCGCTGGAGGCTGGCTCAAGGCCCAGACTTGCTCAGGTATATTTCCTTGGCCTGGGCTCTATACCACATGGTCACTTTCTTTACCTGGAGCCGGATGCATCTCATGTCCTTAGGTTAGAAGGACAAGACCATACAATAAAAGAGTCTGGGCAATCTGACTTAAACCACACGCTGGCACAAAGCCCACATAGAAAAGGATTTCAGATGCCTCTCATGGCCATGGACTTCTGGAGAAATGGTGTCAGAAGCCATACCTATTTCACAGAATCTTCCCTTGAACTGGTCAGAACAAGTGCACTTGAATCTGGATCTCCGCTTCTGGCGTGAGCAAGTGCCACCATTCTGGCAGGGGTTCGGCCGGCACGCGGAAAGCACTGTGAACACAGCAAGTGGGGCCGGGAAGTTTCCTCAGGAGGCAAATCTCCACCTGAGGTGATGGGGAGGTAGCTATGGCATTTTTGTCTGGTGTTGGCCTTTCATAAAATGTGAGTCACCAAATGGAAAGACAGCTCCCTTGAGGCTCTAGCTCACATCACAGGAGGCCTGGAAGCATGGACAAGCCTGGGGCAAGCAACAGGCATGGAAGCCAAGCAAATAGAGGTGAACATCAATGGGCCACTCAGTGAGACGTGACAAGAGGCACAGGAGGAATTCAGGGTGGGTCTGTTAGGTTGAAATTTGGCTCTGGCCCTCCATAGCCACGTGGCCTTAAGCAAGTTAGTTATCCTGCATGGATTTCAGTCTCAGTAAGTGTGAAACTCTTTCTTGTAGAGTTTCCGGGAAGATGTGTGAGAGAATATCAATCTTCTAGGACAGTGGTTGACTCAAGAGTGACTCAAAATATACTGGCTCTCGGACTTGGCCTGTCTCAGGAATAGATTAGCATCTACTTCCTGGAGGAAGTGAATTTCAAGATGATGCTTTTTTGGATGGGAAAGGACAAAGATCAGTCACTTCCTATTGTCTTCTCTGGGGATGAAAGATTCATGAATATCCTAATTCAAAGGACCATCTTGGACAACATAAAATTTTTAGGTACATCTGGACTGCCACATGTTAAGATACATAGACTCCAGGCCCAAGCTAGGCTAGGGAGCCTTGCAGGAAGGTGTCTCTACTACTTACCTCTGGAACAGTTTGGACCTGTGTAAGGGTGTCTGCAGGCACAGCGGTAGTAGGGAGAACTCTGGGTAATGAGACATTCTCCGTGGCCACATGGGTTGTTCTTGCATCTGGATTCTACTGTGGGAGACCCATAGAGAAAGATTTGAAGCACATTGTACCTAGAGATACCTGTACAGTGCAATGTTTAGGGTGGGCGTGGCTAACCTAGCCCAGGGCCTTGTCCATGGTTCTGAATCACCATGAGGCTCAAAGACAGGCTTCTGTTATGCTGGGAGCATGGGTGATGGCTTCCTGTGTGTCCTCTGCTGCTCATAGTCTGCCTTTCTCCATTTTCGTAGAAACATGGTTAAATATGAATGCCTTCAACACAGAGGCTCAGTTTTGATCTCCCCATCTTATATAGTTCTGTCATTCTTTCAGCAGTTGAGAGATTGCACCCAATATTACTGAGACATTTACTGAAAGGATATTTTGTGTGTGTGTGTGTGTGTGTGTGTGTGTGTGTGTGTGTGTGTAACTGGGGATTGAACTCAGGCCCTCAGGCCATTGTGCTTGCCAGGCAAGTGCTTATTCTACTGAGCCATCTCCCAGGCCCCAAGATATCCATTTTGAAAACAGGGAATTTGTGATGAGGATACAGAGGGAAAGACTCAAAAGTCTCTATACTCGTAAGACCCTACTCACTGCCCCTGCCTCACTTAGCTGGTAGATTGGATAGGATCTGGATTCTCCCTGAGGACACAATCTCCCATTGTTCTATTCCCAGTGCTATATGCCATGACCTCACCTGAGGCCAAAAGACTTTACCAAGGACAGACACTTGGAGGCTGGTGTATTCAAGAACATGGGCTCAGCAGTCAAGCACCAGGGTTGTAATTTCTACTCAGCTCCTAACTATCTGTGTCACTGTGAGCAAGTGACTGCCTTTTCTGGATTGTTTACCTCTGGCTTGGGTTTTATATGCCCTGATAACTTTCCCATTATACCATCTGAGGACAATATTGTTGTAGTTAGTCTAACCATTCAAAAAGCAAAGCCTTGAGTTTGGAATGGAGTGCATCTTGATTATATTCCAGATCTATTCCCCATTAGCCTCAATCTTCTCATCTGTACAATGGGCATACTAATCCATCTCATAGTGTGGGAAGAAGATGCAGTGTAGTGCTGCCTGTGGCCCAGTACGCATGACACATCTGTGCACCTATCATCCATTTTGCAGCTCCACTTGGCCCTTCCTTGCCTCCTAGGGTTGGAGTAGGAATGGATTCTTGTTTAACCCAAGAGAGAAGTGAATCTGGTGTAGATGTACTCACCACTCTGACACCTGTTTCCAGTGAATGGGGACTGACAGCTACACCTGAAGGTGTCCCCAGTGATGATGCAGTCCCCTCCATGTTCACAGGGGTTGGACTGGCATGGATCTGAGACACATAGGCAGTAGTCAAGGTCCAAAGGGGCAGCTCATGAAAAATCCCCACTTCATATCTATTGTTAATCACCTGCTCCAAAAGACAGTGCCAAGGAGTGGGAAAGGGGGGGACACACCAATGCCAACCTTAAGGAGCAAGGAGAATTGGGGCTGTAGGGCCAGAGAGAGGGACTCAGGGAGAGGGTAACAGGAGAGGCAGGGAAGAACTGCTACTGTGTCCCCTCAGCCTGGCTTGGATGGGGCTTTTCTCATTGAGAAACTCCCCATTTCCCTCATGAGTGTTTCTCTCCTCCCATCTCGCTGGGAGTGCATGGGTCTGTCTCTGATGCTGAAGGCATTTCACAAGCTTGAGACCTCCCCTACTTCCAGTGCCCAGGGGTGGAGGTCAGCAGTGGGGGAAAAACCCACCCCTAATGAAACACAAGCCTTCTGAACATCAGGAGAGAAGACCAAAGGCAAGAGGGTGACAGAAGCATTGACGGCGAGGAGGAAATGACCCAGTGGCCTTCATCTTTCTTCAACTACTTGTTCAGTTAGATTTTGTCATATTTCATCTGTGCCTTTGGCTTTTCATGGTTGTCTGAATGGATCTTCCCTTGGGGAATTCTTTATCCTTCTGTTCACACACATTGTTCTTTGGTTCAGGAACTAGGATCCCTGGGCCTGGCTCTTGTTTTGATGGTCCCTTCTGATGTTCCCCTGATGCCCTGTATCTTGGCCCTGCCTTCCAGGCCACTTCGCACAGTTACACAGCTTTTATTTCAGCTGCTGAGCGCTTTCCATGCTTTCTCCTGAATTAGGCATGTGGCTTGGCTTGGACCCAGCTTCCTATTTTGCTTTCTGTTCCACTGCTTTGGTTAAGAAGCCACAACACAAAAACATACAACAGTAAAAGCATATATATGAGTACACACACAGCAGACACACACGTGCACGCACACACACACACACCCTAACAATTGTGAAAAGTTTCTGAAGAGTGAGAAGAGAAAGAAAAACACAGCAAAGATGGAAGGGAAGGAAAGTCTTTAATCCAAACTTGTAATTGCTACAGCCCAGTGCTCAGTGCTAATTTAGATTCGTCTGCATAATTAGATCCTAATCTGAGATCAAAGCTATGGAAATGATTTGGAGCCTGACAAGCATTCACAGTGTCAAGGAGGCCTGTATGATGAGGCATTAACTTCCTACATGACCTTGGCCAAGTCAGCTCTGCGCCTGGCCTCACTTACTTTATCTGTCATTTCAGGGTGAGCTATGTGGTCTCTAAAACCCTTCCAGTTGTCATGGAATGTATTTCTAACTGAAACAAAACCAGCCTGAACAATATTTCTCAACACCTGTTTTTGGTGCTGGTTAAAGAGGAGAGGTGAGAAAAGCCCTTCTAAGTAGCCCCCTATAAACTCCCCTGAGTGTGCTGCCCTCCTGTGAGTGGATGTGGTACTCACCGTCATCTGCATAATACCAGTCAGGGTTCTCAGAGTAGGCCAGTGAAGTACTGGTGTTCTCTTCCTGGTTATCCTCCTCATAGCTGTAATCATAGAGGTCAGGAGTCCAATCTGTGAGGGTGGTAACAGAACAGAAGAAACTCTTCTCACTGTACTTACGTAAGGTAGCATTTTATTTAGCTGAACACCTTTTCTCCCAGAATCCGAAGCCTTTAAGGAGGGATCTCATGCCTTTCCAGCTCTTCACACTGATGTGGATGGATAGGAAGGGCCAGGCCGTGTGACTTCATTCACAGGATACTATGATCCAGCAAGGCAATGCTGGTATTCAGCAGGGTCGAGATCATTTGACTGAATAGGGAGAAGCCGAGTCCTAACATTCCACTGACTGTGGCCTTGGGAAATCAATGACATTCTTGGTGTCTTGGTTTTTGCATCTTTGTATAGGAGGAAGAAGACTGGGGTCAGAGGGTCTCCAAAGTTCTAGGTAGAGTCTTTCAGGGTCAGACCATGTGGCCCTTCAGTACTTCATTGGAAGGCTCTGTGAGTACTATTTCTTGGTGAGACTGTATCAATCACCTTAGCTTAATGAAGTGAAAGAAACCTATCACTTTCCTTTTGGTCACGGCACCAAACTACTCCCAAGCTGTATTTACTAAGCCTTTTCTATGTATCAGGCGCTCTGTTAAATATTTCCATGCACCATTTCATTTCATCCTCTAGTGATCTAGGCAGTGAATTATCTGCTCTACTTGAAGCTGAGAGATCTGAGGTAGATGGGTTACGCACTTTGCCCCAGGGCACATGGACAATATGTAGCAGGGTTTAGACTAAGGCCGTTGATCTCCATAAAATTGCTAAATTTCACAAATACAATGTTAATGCTCAAGTGTGTCCACTGTCATCTTACACTACCTTGGATATACTCACACGTACCTGGGTGAAGAACATCTGACCACGCTTACTGAATATCCAGCCTACTAATTAGAACCCACCCAAGTAGAAGATTGAGAGCCCAGATTTTGCCTACTGAAAGAGAGGGTAGTGTGCAGAGGTGACTCCAGTTGCAAACCTTATAATAATCTCGACTTGGGGGAAAACAGGGTAAATGTAAGCCTGGGTTCAAGCTCTTTGTTGTCTGGGGCCCAGGAAGATGCTGGTAGCTCCATAGCTTGTGGAGAGAAGTTCGGGATTTGAAGAAAGTTCAGTTAATTTTGCCCTTGCCAGCCAATGAGGGTGCAGCATGTTGGCAAGTGGAAGCCACAAGGCCACTGCCCAGGGGTGCATACGCTAACGAGGCAGGGCCGGGCAGACTTGAAAAGGGCTCCAGCAGAGGCAGCTGGCGGGGTGGAGCACGCGCTCCACCTGAGCCTGGTTATCGACCACATTATCTCACGCATCCCTCACTCACTCCGTTATAGTCTTTATCTCTCTGGCTTTTGAAAAATCAACTTTTGCACAATGGCTGTTTTATATTTCCCATTAAAACAGAACTATCTTTTTATTTCTTTTTTGAACATGCCAACACTGGTTCCTTGGCAAGCCTTCGCCTCATTTATCACAGTGTCAAGTCAAGATTCCCTTTGCTTGCTCATTATTTCTCATGAGCTGCTTTTCCTCACTATGAAAATGCTCCCGGAGGAGCCCACCTCTCCAAGGATGAGGATCTAGGTTGAAGATAAGGCCATTGTCTTCCTGGAGCAAATAAAATTTCTTTCCATCTAGCACAATAAAGCAGAGAAAGAGAATGCGGGACTGAGGAAAAAATGTCAGTCTGAGTTTGACATGAAAGATTTCAAACTGACATTTGGAGGAGACAATGAGATGATGCCATCATTTCTTTCTTTTCTTCTTTGGAAAATTTCATTTTGTTTTTCCAACAGGTGTATACAGATAAGCAACCTTCAGTTTGTTCCTAGAATCTCTCCCGCCACTCCCAGAGGTGAGGGTCAGAATGTTTCACCTTGGCTGTATCATTAAGAATGTCCCCATCCCCAAGAAAAGGAGGGGAATAGATTCTTACCCAGCTGGGATGGTGTGACTCTTCCAGGTGAAAGGAGACGGATGAAATGTCTGTTTGAGGGTTTAGATTTGAATCTTTACTTACAAGGTCTGTTCACCTTTCAGGCAAGCAGTGTGACTGTTAATCCCAATATGTCAGCTTCATTGGATTAAGAAACATCTAGATCCTGCTCCTGGGTGTGTCCCAGGGGGTCATGGACCTGTGGTCTTGGGTGCTACATATGATCCCTTTCCCATTCTTCCCTGGCACTGTTTCTCAGCTCTGTTTGCCCAGGCACCATGAACGAAGCATCTTTTTCAGCTATGCCCTTCCACCATAGGATTCTGCCTTGGAGCCAGGTGACGACGGACTGAAATCTCAGCAACCATGAATCAAATTAGACTGTTCTTCCTTTAAGCTGTGGGTGTCCAGTGCCATGTCCCAGCAATGAGATGGCTGAGTGGCCCAAGCTGAGGAGGAATAAAATGCACAGGCTCTCATCATATTCTTGCAGAGTCCTTTCTGGCCACCAGGATCCAGAAAACTTAGTGGAACCCAGCAAAGTCTCAGTGGCCTCAGCTCTCTAGGGCAGAAGCCATCCAGCTGTGAAGGCCATAAAAGAATGACACCAAGGTCCTTTAAATTTGAGTGGCTTCAGGGTACTCTGTAGGTGCAATGTGGGAGTGTCAACTGAGAGGGGTGCTGGGCCTCCACATTTAAACCTATTTTGTTTGTCTTCTCCCATTACACTGGCACTGAGTCTTACTATCTGGGCCATGTATGATGCCAGGTGTCGGAGCTCTCGGGGACAGTGCAGAGTTACGCAGTTACACAAGTAAGAGTGGGATGTGGAATTATCCTCAAAGGAAGCTCCAGTCTGAGTTGGCTGAGGGAAGAAGGCCAGCCAAGGAGAGAGATTAAAGGGTAGAGAAGAAGCAGGGAAGCCAGATGAGGCCAAGTCCAGGCCTAAGAGTCTCACATTCCCTATGGAAACTGGCTTGTTTTGAGCCAATCTGATGACACAAATGCCTCCGTTCTCTCCCCCCCTCTGTATCTACGTGGCTCTGCAGCTCAGCTTCTCACCCAGGTGTTTAGGTCAGCTTTGCGATGACTGCCAGCTCCAAGTCCAGCTTCAGGAGGTTTCTCCTCCCTCTCCCTACGTCCTCCTCCTGTTCCTTCTTTTCTTTCCTCCTCCTTCCCCTTCTGCTCCTTCCTTCACCTCCTCATTTCTTTCCCGGTTCTCTGTCTCTCCTACGACTGCAATATGAACAGTTTGGCCTGTTTTGCAAGACTATAAGAGGATGTGCAAGGCAGCAGCAGGCCCAGTGGTCCCAGCTGAGGCCTCAGATATGTGAAAAAGCTCAGCAGTGATCAGGAAACTGAGAGCCCAGCCAAACTACCAGTTGGCTGCTGACACATGAGGAAGTCCAGTTCTGGGCAACAGAGCCTGGTCCATACCAGAAGAACTGCCCAGCTGAACCCAACCAAGTAGCTAATTCAAAGAATTAATATCTAAATACATGGCTAATGGTTGAAGCCACACAGTTTTGGGGTGCAGAGTAACAGCATATGCCCAAGGCTTGCTCAATACCAGTTTGCTTGTAGGCTAAGCATCTTAGACATAAGAACATTTTCTACTGGCCCAGTTGGCCGCAGAATTTAGGTTGGGTGCTGTGTCGTAGGTGGTGCCTTTCTCTGGGATTAGCTTGGTCTACTTAATTCATTTTCTCTACTGGATAGTCAGATTTTTAAGAGCAAACTTTGGACTCTTCTTTCTACCCCATAGTGCTCAGTCCAGGTCAGCAGTTGGGTTTGGCAGATGGACTCTTCCTTCTGTGGCCACACTTCCCTGCTTTCTGATTGGCTGGCTCATAGCCCTGTCCACAATGGTCACTTGGATGGGTACAGGACTCACTGGAGAATTTGGGAAAGAAGCTGTGAGATTTGACTAACAAGAATTTAGGGAAGAAACTTACTCATGAGCTCCACAGGAACCTACAAACTTGTCCAAATGTTCTCTTGAGTGGAAAAGGCTTGCTGCCTAGCATGATATCTGGTTCCACTGGTACACTGTAGAAAACCACTTTGGGTTTAAATTCAGATTATTTGAAACCTTCTCTGAGCTTTAAGAAAGGAAGAGCCTTGGCGAAATGGGCAGCTGTCAGGAGCATTTCATGTCAGGGAAAGAAAAGTAAAGAAAACAAATCCATGTGGATTTGTTCTATCAGGGTCTTTTCCTAGAAATTACCAGGAAGAAGGTTGAGGAGTATCCTGAGTTAACTCAACTAATCATGATAATGGGCTGCTACATATTGAATATTTTGTATGTGTCAGACATTAAACAAAGTAAATATGGTTGAACACAATTGTATTTAGCTTTCAAACAATGCTGTCACATCTGTATCAGGGTGCCAACTCTACAGATCAGAAAAACTCTACAGGAAAACCAGTATAAGAAGAACATGGCCTCCTAAATCAGGTTTACCTAACTCCAAATCTTGTTTGTCATTTTATGAGCCAGGAGCCTTTGGTGGGTTTATGTTTCAGAAGCTCCATGGGTTTTTGCTTCCAGGAAGTTACCCAGATGGAAAAGTTTTCTTTCGTACACCCTCCCAGTCCCCTGACTGGGATCACTATGGTCCATGTTCAGGGTCTCTCCACAAAAGCTGGAGTTCCTGCTATGGCAGCTTCACAGCTGTTCCAGCTAAAGAGCTCGCCAGATGTGTGGAACGGAATAAACATCTCCGGAATGTTGTCCCTGTTGGCGTCATCCATCACCGTGGTACAGGCGGCTCCTCCCAGGGGCTCCCCCAGGCCCCAGCCCTGTCAGGCTGCATTTGCCACTTCCAATCTGGCTGACAGGGCAAGGCCAGCAGAGAGCCTCGCTGGCAGGGAGCAGGACAGCTGATGGATGGCTCAGCCCGTGGTGCCGGGCAGTGCCAGCCAGCTTTGAAGAGGCCTTTCCACAGGCCTGCTGGCTGCGTGTCACCTGCTTTGGGGAGACAGGCAGGGTCTGTGTCGTTTGATGGCCACCTCCCTTGCCACCACCCCTTGGGGACTATGGGCCGGGTACCTTCTGCTGTAGCCAGGCCTTTGCCATGCACTGCGTCCAACAAGACTAACCAAAGACACAGCTTGCCTGTGGGCATGAGCGCATAGACACTGTGCTTCCTCCCTGCGCCCCTGTCAGAAGCCAGCAAGGATCTGGCAAATTCCATCAAAGTACCACCCCATGTGTGCTTAAATAAGGTGGCTGCCAGGGATGCTCTTGAAACCTAACCTGCCCTTCCCAGGAAGGCCCAGCTACTCCAGCTCACTTCCTCCACAGCCAGAGGCTAGTGGAACATGTCCAGATGGGCTCTGGGGCTCAGGGGAGCTCTGCTCAAGCCCCTTCGCCGGTTCGCCAGGTTCTCAGAAGCTATTGGCAGAGCTCTTTTAGAGCCTAGATTTACAGGATGCAAAGTCCAAGACTCGCCACTCCCTTCTCCCTAGGTTATTTTTCATCATGCACTTAAATATTACTGGTGATAGAGAACTTATTATCTCCCCAGAAGCCAACAGCTCATTCACATTTGATCCTTTTGTTCTTAATTAAAGCTATGAGCCTTACAGATATACGGAGGGAACGTACTCCCTTGTCTGTGATCTCGGCCTCCCAGTTGTTCAAACCGTTCACTGAACAATTCCAGCAAGTCATACGCTCGTGGAAGACACATTTCCCGCTTTCTGGAAGATGGCGGCACAGTTTTCAGGTAGATAGACTCTGACTCCTCTCTCTACTGCAGAGGAGAGGCAGTGTGGCTTCAAGCACTCAGAAAGAGCAAGGTCCCTTGAGCCCTGCCATTCCTGTCTCCTCCTGTGTGGGCCCACGGCTTCTGTGGCTCCGTCTCTGGCGATCAGGCCGAGGAGCCCCCTGAACGGTGTGCAGTGACTTGAGGTACCCCTGCAGCCCCGCGCGGTAGGGCCATGGCCACCAGCAAGGGCGACCCTCCGAATCAGGCCCCTGTGGAAGCTAACTGAATGTCGTTGAGATACTAGGAGAAAGACACAGACCCTCCCAGAAACGCACAGGCCATGCTTCTGGGTATTCTTGAGCAGAGAGGGTGGAACGAAGACTTGGTCTCACGCACTCCGAGCGCCTATCAGTTGTCGCTCGGTCCCTGTCTCTGTAAAGCCAAGGAACGGAAGGACAGCAGCAGTTTTCCTCTTGGGGGGGCCAGGGAGATGGCTCAGTGGAATAAGCGCAAGGGCCTGAGTTCAATTCCTGGTTCCACCAAAAAAAAAAAAAAAGAAAAGAAAGAGAAATTTTCCTCTTGGGGCCCCGAGCCCGGCCAGCAGGGAATCACGGAAAGCGCTGAGCTGCTCCCGAGTGATGCTTGCAAGGAGCATCTGTGATGTTCCTGACCCAGTCTAGCCCGGAGGTCCCTCCACTACCGCCCTGCTTGGCCCCTTCCTCCTCCTCAGAACCGGCCTATGGTGGGTGGGAAGCCCGGGGGTGATGAGCGCACTCACCTGGGTCGAGGTCATCGAGGAACGGCTTCAAGAAGAACTGAAAAACAGAGGGACATAGCAGAGCACACTGAGCCGGGCAGGGCCTGAGCGGCTGTGACCCAGCGAGGACCACATCCGGGGCTCAGAGCCTGGCGGTTGTCAGGGCCTGAACTGCTTGCGGCAACAGCGCGGGTGGCCATGCCACTCTGTCTAGTTGTGCCTCGGGAGGAGAAACTGCAGGCCCAGAGGTCACACAGCTGTGAGATTAGGATTAACAGAATCTTCTTCTTCTTTTTTTAAATTTTAGGCAAGGGTCTATAGGGTGTTCAGTGTCTCACTACTAGAGCAGAGTTGTACGGATCCGCCTGTTTACAACCTCCCAAGAGCTGGGATTACAAGCGCCTGCCACCATGCCCAGTCTAAGCTTAGGACTGATGCTCAAATCTCAGTGGGCTTTTGGCGTGAAAGCCCTCCAGTAGATTGGATAGAAATGAACGCTTGCATCTCTCCCGAGACTCCCCATTGCTCTTGGAATCTGACACGAACACCTGCCATGAACTATAACCTCCTCCCGTACTTCCCCCCTTTCGCTACTCTGTACTCAGCTCAGCCACACCCCGTTTCAAAATGGTGCCAGCTCAGCACCCCGTCTCTCTAGGCCCTTTGCAAGGACCTTTCCCCCTGCCTGGGCCCCTTCCACGATTTTCACTGTGTCTCAGGTTAAACTCCACCTTCTCAGGCACTGGCTAGACAGCTCAGGGGTCTAAATTGCCTGCTTAGGCAGGAGCAGGGGACCTGGTTCAATCCCTGGCACCACATGCCGTGCCAGCCCCCACCCTCCACCCTAGGGCAGGCTGAGCCAGCTAAAAAATAGAATAAAGTAAAATAAAATAAACCTCACCTTCTCAAGAAGACCTTTTCTAATTGCCTTATCAGTATAACATCCCCAAGCCCCCATTCTTTACTTCTTCACCTGCCCACTCCCACCATTACATCGCGCTGTTTTGCATTTACTGACCTGCCCCAGCGCTGACCGCTGGCCCTGTCTTCCAGAAAGGCAAGCAGCTGGCCTGGTTCATCACTGGTGACTGAGCCACTAGATACTTAGCACAGTACTTGGGACATGGCACCTCTCAAAACGTTTTTGGTGGATAAATAAATAACGATATGAAAAGTTCCTTTTATCATACAGTGCTTAGCAAGAAAAGAAAGTTTTGCTTATCTAATACCTGGAATGTGTTCTTTCTTTTACATCATCGATCAGCACATTAAGGCCCTTGGGCAAAGCGGCCCAGTTGTGGTTTTATAAATAAAGTTTTATTAGAAAACAGTCACTCTCATTTGCTCACATGTTTTTTAAGAGCTGTTTTTGTGCTGCAATAGCAGAGTAGCTGGGACAGAAAAAATGTTGCTCACAGAATGTGCTCTCTGGCACTTTCCAGGCAAAGCTTGCTGACTTTGAGGTAGAAAGTGGCGGTTTTATCGCTCGACTGCTTTTCCTTTGGGTCTCAGCTGCAGAAAACTAAGCCTTACGCAATGCATCCCCATGGCAGCCCCAGAAGTCACGCACTGTGGGATGTCTGTCTGTCTTTGGTGGAAGTTTTCATTTTCTCTTTTGCTGTGGGATTTCCTAAGCAGTTTGAGGAAGCGGGCAGATGATAAATTAGAGAGACAGGAAAAATGCACCTGATCTGATCTACTGAGCACTCGACATCAACAAATAGTATTCTGGAGAAAAAAAATGTGTATTTTAAATTTAAAAAATATTTTATTTATTTTTATTTATTTGGTACAGGACCCAGTATGCAGCTTGGACTTGCAGCGATCTTCCTGCCGCCCCCGCCTTCCCAGTGCTGGGATTGTAGGCGTACACACCACGCCTGGTTTCAGGACTGGCCTGGAGCACGCAGAGTTCCAGGACTGGTACGACATGTGGTACTGGGGATCGAACCTGCGTCCTTGTGCTTGCCAGGCAGGTGCTCACACTGCCGGGCTATCCCTCCACCCACAAATGCACATTTTAAATTTTCTTGTTTTGTGTGTGGCGCTCCATGCCTGTAACCCTGGGAATTGGGATGCTGAGGCAAGAGCATTGCCATGAGTTTGAGGCCAGCCTGGCTACATAAAGAGTTCAAGGCCAGCCTGACCTGCGTAGTGAAATCATGTCTCAAAAAAAAAAAAAAAAAAAAAGTCTCACGTGTCACAGCATGTATCTGAACTGAGAGATCCAGATTGTAGTCATTTCATAAAACAGTTAGCCTGACTCTCCAACAGTGCCAATGTCATAAAAGACAGAAAAGGTGGAGGACTGTACTTTATCCAGAGGCATAACTAATCAGGGCATCTTTGGATCCTGGAGTTTTTTTTTTTTTTTTTTTTTCCAAAAGGTATAAAGGACACTGTTGAGTCAATTGGGAGATTTAAATATAAACTTCTGTTAGGTTGTCTTACTCTCAGTGTTCATTTTTTTTCCCCTGTATTTTAGGGAAAGGTCTGCAGGGTGGTCAGGGTCTCGCTACTAGATCCGACTCATAGTGATTCTCCTACTTGCCTCCCAAGTGCTGCGGTGTGCGCCACCACACTCAGTCTCAATTGCCATCTCAGTGTGCTCTGGGGGCAGGGCCAGCGTGGCAGGCTCAGGGATCTAACCCCTGCGCCTGCGTGAAGGCGCTTTAATCCGCTGAGCTATGTGGCTGGCCCAACGTTCATTTTTCTAAAAGCGGATAATTCTAACTGTACGGGAAAATGTACTTAGGTCTTTTTTTCCAGTACTGGGCATTTGGGAATTGCAAATGGGTTGCTTGACCACTGAATTACACCCTAGTCCTTGTTTTTTTTATACTGAGACAGGGTACCGCTAGGTTGTCCAGACTGGCCTCAGATTTGCTGCGCTCCTGCCTGAGCTCTCCCACGTAACTGGCATTACAGGTATGCACGGTCACACCCAGCATGAAGGTGCTTGTTCTTAGGAGGTGCTGAAGAGCCATGTGACAGCAGGCCTCTTCTCCCAAGGGACTCAGCACATAAAACGTAACAGAAACTCACAGCTATTCTCACAGGAGGACGAGCGAGATCATACTGGTGGCAAAATATTAATAACCATTCATCTATCTGACTGGATAAAAGTGTTCATTTTATTGTCCTTTCTATTTTTCTGTAGGTTTGGAAAATTGCCCAGAAAGGTGAGAGAAGGGAAAGGAATGGAAAAAAAAAAAAAAGAGGAGGGGCACAAATTGTGCTCTGGGCCTGTGTCTCTGTTCCCAGCCCCATCTCTACAGGGAACAGACAAGGGACAGGTGTTTGATTTGGGGGCTTTGCTGAAAGGAGGCATTCAGGTCTCAGGGAGTCAGGTGTCCTGGCATGGACTTGGGGTGTGCAAGCCAGGGCTAGCCCCTCTCCCTGAATTCTTCTATTTGAGCCGAGTAGATGGGCCAGGCCAGCCAGGAGAGAAGGTTCGGGGTACACCCTTTCTCAAGACCTGGAGGAGAAGGGCCCTGCGGGACTTGCACCAAGGGCGGCAGCCAGCTCTAGCTGGAGCCTGAGTCGCCAGGTGTCGTGCTCGCTGTGGCCAGCAGGTGGCACACGTGCCCTTCCTAGGCGAGTGCACTGGAGGGAAACCAAAACTAAGAAGCTGCAACTTCCAGGTGACACTGACCCAGCCGACTTGTGGCTCCTGGGGGCCCTAGACAGCTGCTTTCTGGTCCTGTGGCACCCGCAGAAAGGCTGTACTGGGAGGTGGAGGCTGTGGATCTGGGGTCCTGGGACAGGCCTGGAGGAGGACACTGGTGGGAGCCTGTACACAGTTGGACAGACCCTCTTTCATCTCCTCATTGCGTTGCACTTACCACAGGGACAGAAAATCTCAGAGAAACTTGACTCTGGAAACTTGCAATCCAGAGGCAGATTAATGTAGGAAGAGGTGAGGGAGGAGAACTAAAAGGGAGATGGGAGGAGAGCCGTGAGCTCGGTTCCCATTGCCTGGGAGCTCATAGCAAGCCGGGGCTGCGGGAGGAGCTTTCCCCATGTTTTGTTCTCCCTCATGACACACCATGCTTGCTAAGTCAGGTAGCATAATCACATCTATCTTGAGCAAAGAAAGCTGAGGTTGGCACAGAGGAAGCCATCCACAGTAACGCAGCTACTTAGGGCTGGAGCTGGACTATCCCAGGGTCGGTCTTCTGGCAGGGACCTGCTCTACTCAGGCTTGCTCCCAGGAGTGAGGGAGCCATGGTGCATGTACACCGCTGCCGAAGGAGAGCAGAGAAAGAGGCCTAAGAACTCCTACCCCTAAAGAGGCCAGTGTTAGGCTGGCTGAGATATCAGGGCCCCTGATCTTGGACAGCTCTGAGCACAGCCTGGCCATGGAGGTTTGGGCCTGGCCAGACACAGAGAGGGCACTTTAGCCTTGGCCTGCCCACGTCCCACAGAACATCTCCACCCAGACAAGGGGCACACAAGGTGCTGTCCGCTTCTCCAACCATCCCCGTTCCAAATTTCAGTGGGGCTAAAATCGCACATGAACCTGTGACCAGCTCTTTCCAGAGACCTGGGCAAGGGTGAATCTCACACGTGGAAAGGAAGTGCTTTGCTATGAGCTTAGAAAGACTGCTCTGGACCCACGTGCTGGTCCTTCCGTCTCACACTTGGGCTTTCTCAGCAGACAACTCAGAGCTTTGAGCTTCCCAAGGCCAGAAGCAGGCCCCTGACGATGGCAGACTCCCCCCAGCCACCACTGAGCTTCTCTCAGGTCTAGTGTCTTCTAGGAAACGGTCAGTAAGAAAGGGAGGGACAGATCTGAGCCTTAATGGGGGCCAGGGAGAATTGGGCCTGATCTATTTTGTCCCACTTCTAATTGGGTAGTTATTTCAACTCACGTTCTTCTTCAGCCTTACTTTTAAACTTTCTGGCAAACAAAATAAAACAACTGATATGGGAAGCCTGAGTTGATGTGCTTCAGAATTACATGTAGTGGGCAAAATACATTCTCAGAGAATTAGGAGTTAGTGGGTGGCGCGCAGGGCTAGATCTGGCCGTCAGGCTGGACAGCCGGCTCAGGTG